AAAAAATATTTTTAAAAATAGTATGAGGGCTCTCCCTAGTGGCACAACAGGTTAAAGGCACTGCATTATGAAGCTCTTGGAAGCCACTGCAACATAAGTTCAATCCCCTGCCAAGGAGCTAACCCACATGGTGTGGCAGACCTCTCCTGACCTACCTGCTGATCCCCTCAGCAGTGTATTTCAGTAGCTCTGCCTGTTCTGCTCCCCACTCTGTCTCTGATGAATCCTCTCACCCACCACCCCTCTGGCCTATACCCCAGTTTTGCAAGCATAAATAAATCTTTAAAAAAAAAAAATATTATGATGTCAATTTTTCCCCAGAAGGTTAAATTAAATGCAATCTAAATAAAAATTCCAGCATGTTTGTAGACATTAACAAACTTATAGCAAGATCTATATGGAATTACAAAGAATCTAGAACAACCAGAACAATTTTGGAGAAGAACAAGTAGGACTTACGTTACCTAATCTTTTATTTAAGATTCACTACAAATAATCAAGGCTGTGATAATAATAAAATAATAGATAATTCAATGAGTCAAAGACTATTTGTTTTTTTCACAAATAGTACTAAAACAACTGGGAAACTTTATGGAAAAAAATCTCAATCCTGACCTCACACCATATATCAATATTGACATATGCTAGATCACAGATCTAACCACACAAGATCACTCACATTCTTAATTGTACTTTATTTTTTTAAGATTTATTTATTCATACAGAATTGGGGTACAGGCCAGGGGTACAGGGGTGGTGAGAGGTTTCACCAGAGGCAGAGTGGGGAGCAGAAGAGCAGAGTACACTGAAGGGAGCAGTACACTGAAGTACACTGCTGAGGGGAGCGGTGGGCAGGTCAGGAGAGGTCTGCCACGCCATGTAGATCACCCCCTGGGGCGGGGATCGAACTCATGCTGAAGTGGCTTTAGCTTCTTAGTGCTGTGCTTTAACCTGCTGTGCCACCAGAGAGGGCTCCATTCTTAACTGTACTTTTCCCTCTCATCCAACATTTTTTTCCCATTACTTAATGAAAATATTGGAAAATCAAAAATTCTGCAGCTAATTTTCCAGTTTAATGAGTTTATCTTTCTCTTCATTTACGAAACAGAACTGAGTAACCAATAAACCCTCCCAAAATATGAAGCTAGCCAATTAAAAAAAAATAAACCCCGCAAGAATTTCCTCTCCAGTGACCTTACCTTGCCCTTCCGGAGGCGTCGCACTGTGTCACTGGGGCTCCAGTCATTACTGTAATCCTGTAATATTAACAACACATGAATTCCAGGGAATTAAGGGGTCAGAGCTATCAGCAGGCCAGTTCCTCACCTCAAACTCATAGTCTTTGTCCCTAAAGGAGAAATACTTTGTGGGAGGAAATGAGTGAGGAGAAAAATGAAGAATGGAGATAGTTTTGTTCTGAATTTTTGAAAAAAGATACAGCAGGGACAATACAGGCAGGAGGACAGGAATCTAAGAGGAATGAACCAGCTGACAAAATCTGCAATCCCATCTATGCCTATAGGTTCAGGACTTCAATCTCTAGATGACAATTGGTCACTTAACTCTGCCAAATGAATGAAAGAGGGAAATATACTCCTTTACTGGAACTTATGATAAAATTTCTTTGTTATGAATCAATTTTTTTGGTGGTTGAATCCTGTCAAATTTCTAGACAACAGTGATAATCAAAAGTTTTTAAGGATAGGGCTCTCCCTGGTGGTGCAATGGGTTAAAGCACAGCCTAGGAAGCTGGCTGCAGCCATTTCAGCACAAGTTCATACCCAGCAAGGGAGCTCATCCACATGGCGCAGTAGACTTCTCCTGACCCTCCCGCTGCTCCCCTCAGCAGCGTACTTCGTTGATCTGCCTGTTCTGCTCCCCACTCAGTCTCTGGTGAATCCTTACACTGCTCCTGCATCTCTGATCTGTACCCCAGTTCTGCATGCATACATAAACCTTTAAAAAAAAAAGTTTTGAAGTATAGCCTGCAAAAGGCAGCATACATAATAGGTAAGGAAAGTGTACTAGGACTGAATCATAAAATAGAAATTTTGAGTCCAAGTTCTACCATTTACTAGCTGTGAGACACATAGCAAGTCCCAATGTTTAGAAATTGAGTATTCTTATCTATAAAGAGGAGTACTGTTTTGTACCTGCTCAAAAACTTGAGAAGATACAGTAAGACAATGTATGCCAAAGCACTTTAAATTCTAAAGTGTCACACCAGTGTATGATGTAAACTTACCCTATACTCCCCCTTGGGTCGACCCAGCTCTGGAGCATAGCTTTTGGAAGGTGTGTCTGACAGAGCTGAAAAAGATCAAGCAGCTAGTTCAGAATGACATCAGCTTCTTTTCATTCTTTCCCTCTACTGCTTCCTTCTTACATTTGTCTTGCAAAAAAAAAAAAAGAAAGAAAGAAACCAAGATATCTGTATGCAAATTTCAATAGATTCAGTAGATTTCAGTTCCTCCTCAAAGATAGCCTCTCTAGAAGGCATCCCTTCCCCTATAGCCACACAATATCAGAAAATTCTCCTAACAGTGATGGTAGAGTCAGAAGAAATTTCATCTAATCATCTAATTACCACCTGTCTTCATAATTCCCCTCACTGCACCCCCCAGGTCAGCAATGCCTGTTACAGAAATCAAGAGAAGAGGATCAATACCTACCATCAGAAAGAGACTGGAAACTTCCAGGTCTAGTTTTCCCTAAAGGTAAAGAACACAGGAGAGAAGAGGTTAAGAGTTCAAGTCAGAGTCACACTTGGTTAAGCATGCAGTGTACAGAACCTTTTTATACAATGTGGGAACATATGCTTAAAAAAGCTTTTGTCAACTTCAGAAATCTGAGGTGTCATTTAAAAAAAACAAAGAAAAAATTTTAAAATTGTGGTATAATATACATAACAAAAAGTGTACGTACTATTTTTGGCTGTTCAGTGGCACTGAGTACATTCACATTGTATAATCATCACCATTATCTACAAACTCCAGAATTTTTCACTACCTCAAACTGAGATCCTGTACCCATTAAACAATAACATTCTCCCCCATTCTCCACTACCCCCAGGCCCCAGTAACCTCTATTCTACTTTCTGTTTCTTTGAATCTGATTATTTTAGGTATTATGTAGAAGTAGAATCATACAGAAATGGTAGATTCAGAAGAAATTTCATCTAATCACCTAATAACCATTTATTTTCATAACTCCCCACAATTATGTGTCTTTCTTTTTTTTTAGTTAACACTGTGTGATATAGGGAAACAGGCTTGTACCTCTTCAGATGTATGTTACCACACCATAGCCCCCCCTAAAGAACCATAATCTTTCACCATAGATCACTGGGCCCCCTCCCCTTTGTTGCTTATCCCCTCCAGTAAGCTCAATTCTGCAGTCATATTTCTAGGGATTGTTTTGGTTTAGTTTCATCTGTTCCTTTCTTTTGATTCTCTGTTCCACAAGTAAAAGCACCCTACACTTCTCTTTCTTCTTCTGACTCATTTCATTAAGCAGTTCCTCTCCTTCCAGTTCCGTCCATGTTGTCACAAATGATTAAGATGTCGTTTCTTTGGATAGTCGAATACTATTCCATTGTGTATATATAAATCTTCTTTGTAAGTGTTCCCAAAGGCATCCGCTAATCTGTTTTTGGACACTTCCATAAATTGGCCTTTGTAAACAGTGCTGCAATGAACACAGGAGTGCATAGATTCCTTCAAATTAGTGTTTTTGCAGTCTCTGGATATGTGCCAACGAATGGAATTGTTGGATCATATCTATTTTGAATATCTTGAAACTATTCCTTACATTCTTCCACAGGGGCAAAACTAGTCTATATTCCCATCAACATGTATAAGGGTCTTTTCCCTCTACATCCTTGTGAAGATTTGTTATTTCTAGTTTGCTTTTTTTTTTTTTTTGCTATGGGCCATTCTTATAAGGATGAGATGGTACCTCACTTTGGTTTTGATTTGTCGTCCCCTCACTAGTGGTGTTGAGCATCTGTTCATGTGCCTATGGCCACCTGTATGTTTTCTTTGGAGAATTGTCTATTTAGTTCTTCTGCCTATTTTTGGACTGAGTTGTTTCCATTTTGCTGAGTTGTGTGATTTCTTTGTAGATCTTAGGTCCATGTTGATGGGCAGTATTTTCTCCCATTTAGTACGATGTCTCTTCATATTCATGGCATTTTCTTCTGCTCTGCAGGTTTTTAGTTTGATGTAGACCCATTACTTTTGCTGTTATTTTTCTACCCATGGCATCTAGTTCCCAAAGTCAGCCCTGAAGCTAACGTTGTGGAATGTTTCTCCCTACACATTTTATAGCTTCTGATCTTATATCCAAGTCCTTAATCCATTTTGAGTTAATTTTTGTGAGTGGCCAACCTTCATATTTCTGTGTGGCTGTTCAGTTTTCCCAGCACCACTTGTTGAAGAGACCTTCTCTCTCTCCATTGTATACCCCTGTTGTGTCTTATTCCACTGATCATAAAGTCCTCAAGGTTCATCCATATTGTGGCATACATAAGAATTTAATTTAATTAACATCCCTTTTTTTGATAAATTATACTCCACTACATGTACATTTTACTTATCAGTCAATGGATGCTTAAGGTATTTTCACCTTTTGGCTATTATGAATAAGTGCTGCTACAAACACTGGTGTATAAAAATAGCTATTCAAGTTCTTGCTTTGGTTCTTTTTGGTAGGTTACCAAACATAGACTGCTGGATCATATATGGTAACTGTACAGTCAATTAACTGCCTTCCAGAGCAGCTGTATCATTTTGCATTCCCACCATAGAGCATAAAAGTTCCCAACAGTACACAGGGGTAGGGGGAAATTACAGCCTATTTCTACAGTACCTGTCACAGGGTTAATTTGTTCATCATGTTCTAGAAACCTCCTCTAACCTATCTGAATTTTCTCTCATTTCTCCCACTCTTAATCCCAAAATGCCAAGTCCAAAGACATTCTTTATCCTGCAATAGTCTTTTTCTTCCAAAATAGATGAAAATTATAACATGCCTTTTTCTGAATAAAGAAAAGGAAGACTCCCTGTCCCTGTAATCATAACTCTTTACCTTTGAAAAAGCTGCTCAGGGAATAAGTAGAAGGAGGCTTGGGTAGTTGTGCATAGGAGAAGCTGTTTCGGCTCTTTAGTTGTTCACGTCCCTCATGGTTTGACACGCTGTTACCAGCAGTCTCTTTGATAGACCATGAGATACCTATAGGATAGTAAGAGCTAAGTTCATCAATCTCATCCAAAGTAAATCCTGATAACATTCTCCAACCAACTCTAAAAGTTTTTCACCAAAGGCCCTGGCTCTTTGCCTAATATGGACTCCAAAAATTGGGACAAGGAAGAAAGATAGAACCAAATAGACTAATCAACAGAAAGGAGGGCAAAGGAAATAAATGGAACACAAAAAAGGAATTTCAAATAACTATTAAACATATTTAGATACTCATGCTCACTCTTAAAAGAATTACACAATTAAAAGTACACTATATTATTGGCTCTCTAAAGATTGACAAATATCCAAAATTTTGACAATACTCTGTTTTTTCAAGACTACCAGGAAACAGGAACCCTCTAATGTTGCTAGTGGGAGTACAAATTAGTTCAACCCTTGTGGAGGTCAATTTGGTAATATTTACCAACACAGATGCAAATATCCTCTGCCAGTAATTCCACCCTAGAAGCTGATCTTTCATTAAACTATTATGTGGGCAGAATACAAAGCTATTGAAAGCAATGTACACAACAAAAGACTGGAAAGAATCTAAAATTCATCAGAAGTGGACTGATTAAATGAATTATGGTAAACCTATACAATGTAATAATATTATGCTGCTATTTAAAAAGATAGAGAAGGGTTCTTCCTGGTGGCGCAATGAGTTAAAGCACCATATTATGAAGCTCTCTGAAGCCACTGCAGCCCCAGTTCGATCCCCAGCCAGGGAGCTGACCCACATGGCACAGCAGACCTCTCCTGACTCGCCTGCTGCTCCCCTCAGCAGCGTACTTTGTCAGCTGGCCTATTCTGCTCCCTACTCTGTCTCTGGTGAATCCTCCCACCCACCACACCCTTGGCCTGTACCGTAGTTCTATATGTATAAATAAATAAATCTTAAAAAAAGAAAAGAAAAGAGAGAGAGAGAGAGAAAACATATGTGATCTGGAAAAATCTCAGTTGTACTGTCAAATGAGACCAGAAGGGTATGCTATCACTTACGCAAAAAAAAAAAGGGTAAGAATATATATTCCTATATGCATTTTCCAATTTAAAAAGAGTTTTAGATGAATACAAAGGAAAAACGCAGAGTGGCTACTGGGGAGGGAGGACAAAGGCAGGGACTGAGAAATGAGTAAATGTAAGACAATGTTTCACTAGATGCCTTAAATACCTTTTAATTTTAAATCACATGGTGGTGTCTCCTATTTTAAAAAAAAAAAACCTTAAAAGCTATTCTTAAACATTAAATGGATCGTGTAAAGTTGTTAGGTGGTATGATGTTAAGAGTTAAACAGTGAAACTTGCTGGTTAGCGAAGGCAGGTCTGCCAACCTATTATGAGAACTTAAGCCAGCAGTTCCTCAATATGACTGCCATGCTAGAAGCACCTGCAGTACTTAAGACAAACTGAAGTCCCCAGCCCAACTGAGATTCACTCTCACAGTGAAGCCTAGGGATAAATGTTAACAAGCACCCCAACGGGGTCTGAAACAGCGAGTCAAGAATTATTCCCAGGACAGGAGATCACCACTGCTACATGAGAACTACTGCTGCATTTCCCTGAATATCTGTTCCGGGGGTTAAATTTCCAGGTGTATGCTCATCCGCAGGTAGTCTAGCCCCATCCCCTTTCCTGATAAGCACAGAGGAGACAGAATGGACCCGTCCAAGAACGACAGCCAAGAACTCTGGATATCAATCCTCAACTAGGGCCTCTTCTACTTACTGCCCACAGGTTCCCCACTCCAGCTGACTCTCTCCAGGTCGTCGTCATCATCGTCATCCACAAAGTCTCGAAGACTGTTCACTGCCCGCTTGGATTCCTTCAACTGCGGAGGAACATAATGCAGGACACTCAAGCTATCATCACGTCCCACCTCTCTCAGCAACTACAAAAGCTGAGGAGCTGGGACTTAAAGATGGCTAACACTTTTACCCTCTGCAATTACCCTCTGCCTGGCCTACTAGATATTTGCAGTGAAAACAAGCTGGTTTTAGCCAACGGTAAAAGAGTTAGGAGGAATCAGTCACTTTGAGTTCTAACCACATTTGTGTAAATCTAAGTGAGCTTATGCACTTCTTCAAAAATAAATGTTTTCCCCATGGAAGCAGCCCAAATGCCCAAAAGTAGATGACTGGATTAGAAAGATGTGGTACATATATACATGTCTTTTGCAGCAACTTGGATGGAGCTGGAAAAGATCATGCTTAGTGAGATAAGCCAGAAAGAGAAAGAAAAATATCGGATGGTTTCACTCATAGCAGGAGTATAATGGACCAGGCGAGAAAATAACAAAAATAATGAACAACCATATACCAGAGACATTCTGTGGGGGTGGAGTGGGGAATGGGATCAAAAATGGGGGGGGGAGGGAAATGCATGGGACTATGGTGGTGGCACAGGGGTGATTTGGTGATGGGAAACCCGTGGGGATTACAATTGAGATGAAAAAAAAATGTGAAAAATGATGTAAAAATAAACTTTTTAATAAAAATAAATAAATAAATAAATAAATGTTTTCCCAATCCCAATTCATTCTTTCAAAAATAATAGATTATATGATAAAAGTCTTGGGATTCTTGGGGAAAAAGCAACATCTTAATAATGTAAAGTAAGAAAGGCAGAGGGTTGGTTTTACAAACCCTGTGCATCTTTTTTGAAGGCACTTCACAATTTTTTTCCCTAAAGACTGACCCAAACATTTCTGAGCCTAGTGGAGACAAGGTCAAACCAGGTTACTGAGGATACAGGGGGAAAGAATGTCACACTATGGAAGAGGGTGCACCTTCATCTAACTGAAACCTACCTGTGAGAGTTCATCATCTTCGTCATCAAAGGTGAAAGCCTTGAACTTGGAGCTGTTCCAATACTCTTCTTCATCTCCCTTTGTTCGATTCATCTGGAATAAGAGGCAAACAAGACATATATCCCTTTCTGGATTCCTCCCAAGAGAGACCCCAAAGTAGCCCTCCCTGGTGGCGCAAGGGGTTAAGTCTCAGCACCATCAAGCTATTGGCAGCCACTGCAGCACAAGTTTTGACTCCCAGCCAGGGAGTTGACCTACATGACACAGCAAACCTCTCCTTTTTTGCCTGCTACTCCCCTAAGCAGTGTATTTTAGTGGATCTACCTGTTCTGCTTCCCACTCTGTCTCTAGTGAATCCTCTCACCCACCACACCTCTGGCCTGTACCCCAGTTCTGTAAACATAAATATAAAAAAAAAAATCTTTAAAAAAAAAAACAAGTCCCTCTCATAATGAATCTAAAATTAAATTTCAATCCAAAAAAGGTTCTGCCCTAGAATTACAAATTATCAACGCCAACTGAATTAGAGTGAAAACTGATTCAAGCCAAGACTGGGAACCAAAACTTACACAGCACTAAAAAAAAATAACTCAAAGATTGTCAATTTCTAAAGGATCAATTTGCTTTTTCTTTTACTTCAATACCTTTCTCCATGGAAGCTTGAGAAACACCATGAAAACTGTGATTTGGATTCTGGTGGCCCTCTTTCAACTCTCACTTCCTGACTCTGATTTCAGAGGATATAAAAATGGCAAAGGTATGGTGGGAACTTTCCACTATCTAATCCCTTTCCATGGCAGACATCATTATTGACTGCTACCCCAGATGTGCCTTAAAATTAATTGCATGGAATCAAAACCAAATAAAACTGGCAGGTTCGATGAAAGTTGACTTTGTAGTCAGGCAAACTTTAATTCAAATCTATTTTTCCAACTCTGAGCAAACTGGGTATATAATTTTACTTCTAAGCCTTGGAGAAAGTGATACCCTACCTTACAGGGTCACCATGAAGACTAGAAAGAACTCAAGAAAAGCCTAACAAAGTGCCTAACAAAAAGTGCATAGTAAATTTTTTGAGTATGGGATATTTTACCGACATCTTTATATCTAGGTTTCTTCGTGTGTAAAATGAATATAACAAAAGAAGTCAGCCTTAAAAGATTTTTGTGAGGCTTAAACCAGTTAATATAAGTAAAACATGTTGTGCCAGACACAACATTAAGTTAGTTTTTATTATTATTAAAATCATCGAGGTACTTTGGGGAAAATTGGAAAACATTTTTAAGCAATTCTAAAGAGTAACAAATGTTGGTATAAAATTTCTAGTGCTCATCACAACATAGATCATGGCTAGGTCTCTGGCACAGGTGTCAGTTAATGAAAACATTTTTTCATTCTCAGAAGCTGGAAGGTAGAACTGGCAGCTTTCATTTCACTGATGAAGGAAATGAGGCACAAATGGATTAACTATCAAAGTCACTTTACTAATTGTTCCTATATTACAGGTTTTCTGTCTCCTGGATCATTTTCTCTGACTTGTATGGTCCTCTAACTACTTTTCATTCTAGGGAAAACTATGCGTCAATAAATGGTCTACAGGTAGGCATTTACTAAGCCACTAATCCACCAAAGGATTTTTGTAATTTTCCTTTCTTTTCTATTTTTTACCATGCACTAGTGAAAACGACATCAATTTATACTTCCAATAACAAATCAGAACCTAAATTTACCTAGTTCTCGATTTAAGGGCTCTGGACGTGATAAAGCAGCCCGGTGCAATTTTGGGAGTGATTGAGAAAGTGCTTCGACTTAATTTAAAATACTTCAGATATGTGTTTTTACGTCACACGTCAAAGATGTGCTTAAGATAGGGGAGGAGACCAGAGGGGAGAACAGGTGCATGATGACGGGAGAAAAAGGAGGATCAGCAAAACACAAAAACAAATCCACACCTAACACGTTCCCTGCCTCAGGCAATCTCAAGAAACCGGCTGCCAAAAAGTTAAATCTGGACTCAATTTATCTCCAGAGCCAGGCCTACCTAGGTGAGGCCGGGGAAGGTGGCTTAAATGAGGACGACTCTATGGACCAACATCCAGGAAGTCACGAGCTACCGCAGTCGCCAGAGCCCGGCGGACTGGTAGAAAAAACAAATGCTTGCTCAAAACAAAATGTGGGGGCTCAATTGCAGCCCCAACCCCAAGCGTACTCGACACCTAGTTCAAGGGTCGCTTCAACAGCGGAGTCAGCCCGGGGGGGTGGGGGTAGGGGGGACCTTAGGGGCATTTCTGAGAATGGGTGAAGGACCAGGATGCGGAAAGGCTGACTGGACTCAGCCCAAAATGCAGCCCAAGGGAGTCAGGACACCCTCACCTCTTCCAACCGAGCCCTCCCTCTCAGGACAACGCCAGGCTCTTCCGCCGCCGGACCAGCCTTTCTAATCAAGCTCTGCGGCATAGAAAAGGGGCAGAAGAGGATAGTCGGAGGGAGGAGCGAGAGCGCCGAATACAAGGCAAGAAAGAGGCCGCGAGGAATGCTGGAAGTTGTAGTTTTTCCTCCTCCTGTTGCAACGGGTTGTCCGGAAGAGCCGGTGGGCTTCTTGACTACAGCTCCCAGAATTCCCAGAGTATCGTTCCCAGGGTGTTTCCCTTACTTTTCGTGCGACCTTCCGCGGTTTTGTAGCGGGTCAGCCAAACGAGACTACAACTCCCATGAGGCTCAGCAGAGGCACTTCAGGGTCGAGCGAAACAATGAGTCGTCTTCTTTGTTTCCCTGCAGGTGAGGAGTGGTCTTTTGAGCGGTTGCATTTTGGGTCCCTTTGGCGATATCCTCAGGGAGCTCCAAGGAACCCTAGAGCAGGAGAAGCTAAGGTCCGGGGAGGTGAAACGGAAGTACCCGGCGGGAGTGAGGAGGAGCCGGAAGTTGAGGCAGGGAGGGGGCGGGGGTGGAGGGAAAAGCAAGCCAGGAGGTTCTGCGGCCGCTTCTAGTAGTTTCCAGGCGCTGCCGGGCGGCAGGGACCGGGCGGCCCTGAGGCTGTGGCTGTGGCTGTGGCTGCTCGGGAGCTGGTGACGGCGCCATAGGAGAGCCGATGGCCAAGTGGGGTGAGGGCGACCCACGCTGGATCGTGGAGGAGCGGGCGGACGCCACCAACGTCAACAACTGGCACTGGTGAGGGCCAGCGGACCAGGCCGCGGGAGCGCTACGGCGGGGCCGGGGTGGCAAGCCCTGGAACCTCGGCCGGGGCAAAACTGGGGCCAGGCAGCCCTGTCTGGGGGTGGGGCTGGGTCCTTTTTAATGCAGGAGTCTGTGGCCCCAGGCCCCGCAGCTCCTGGACTCTTTCAGTGATTTCGGGTGGGGGGCGACGTGGAGGGCTGTTCCCCCAAGGAGGACAGGAAAAAGAAAAGAGAGGGCATAACCTCCAAGCTGCTGCATCCAGCCTGAACAGGGAGATGCTCCCTACACGTGGCCGCAGGAGTCAGTAAGATCCGACCGCCTTCGATTGTACTGGGAGGTTACTGCGCGAGGCGGAGGCCGGGGCGGGGGGGGGGGCCTGAAATTCCTGATTTGCGGCCTGCGGGTGCAATTAAAAGTCAGTTATGGGGGACCACCATCTCGTTCCAGAGGGCGAAGGTTTGGGACATGTTCTGCAGGTGCTCCGAGCTCAGCGGTGCTGAGACGCACCGGCCGCTTACCCGGAACTGTTAAGTTGGTTGTGTTGTAACTCCAGGGACTGCTCCCGGTTGCTGGGCAATCGTGATTTTATAACCTACACCACTTTTAAAAGCCTACCCTTCACGAAATCTTCCAAAAGTAATGTTTCCTTATCTTTCAAGTTCATTGAACTTTGTTCTTGCTGCCTTCGCTGTGTTTTTACTTTGTTGCAGGTCGTTTCGCTGTAGTGTCTCCGAGCTAGCAGTCGGGAGGCAGGTAGTGGTTTTCTTTTCTCGAGCTCACCCTGCCGCCTCTCCTTTCAACATACAGAGTGCCTGACCTAATTTTTGTTTTGAAATCCAGGACTTACTTTGTTGTCATGGCCATTTAGAGGGCATAAAATGTGTAAGGGCATTTATAGCATAGCCTGAATTTGCCTGGTCAGAGTTCCGTGGTAATGAAGCTAAGATTGTTAGGCTTACTCCTTGTGGGGCCCTTCAGGTAGAGAGTGCTTTCTACAGCCCTGTCTGTGCTCCGACCTCAGTAATGTGTGTCCATATTTCCCACAGGCCAAAAGGGGGCACCATGTTACAGTGATAAGTATTGACCCCAGTCCCATCCTTCTGGGAAAGGGAAGCATCCTTTCCCATTTAGCTTGTAGCCATTCTAAATAACAGTTGGCCTTAAAGAAGATATCTAATTCTTTATTCTCTTAGGTGAAGGTAACATTGATGGACACTCTGGAGTGGAACTCTGGGTTTTTGTGTCCTTTGCAGTTTTTCACAATTTCTTTAGCCTTTAGCAAGTGGGGTCTCCTCCATTTGGCTGTTTCTGTCTTGCAGGACAGAGAGGGATGCTTCAAATTGGTCCACAGACAAGCTGAAGACGCTGTTCCTGGCCGTACAGGTGCAAAATGAGGAGGGCAAGTGTGAGGTGACAGAAGTGAATAAGCTTGATGGCGAGGCATCAATTAACAATCGCAAAGGCAAACTTATCTTCTTTTATGAGTGGAGTGTCAAACTAAATTGGACAGGTAAGTCTCCTGGGATGTTAGGGGAAAGGTTTAACTGCATTTTGATTGAATGTTAAGGACCTGGGGCGGTCAGTTTTTGAGAGGTTATGAATTTTTCAAGGAAGATAGGTACTGCTGCTTTGGAGTCCTAAAGAAAGTAGTAGTAGTAGCTAAAATTTCTCCGCCACTCTGGATCACTAAGGGAGTGTCCTCTGTTTGGATCTCACAAGTGTGCGGTTGGATCACAGCATCGTTGAGGCTTGGACTCTGTTATGACACGTGAAGTGTCATTTCTCTAGACTAGCTACTTCTGATTCTTGAATGATGTAGAAGTGGGGGAGGGGCATTTTTGGTTTTGATCTTTTCATACGCCTGCCATTGTGAAATTAGCAGATTGTACTATTGTGCTAATGAAACTTATATGTGTCTATTGTTTGGGTCAGTGCTGTCCTTTAATGCCCTTCCTGTGATGATACAAGGAGAAATTAGGGCCTGATATGAAAGATCAGAAGGAGGTGGTAGCCTTGGGTTTCCCTGATTGTTGAGAGGCTACATTTTAAAAGGTACTAAAGCTGAAAGAGTATGTGTATGGGGCAGAGCATTCAATTCTGCAATGACATGACATGTATTTTATAAAAATCACTACACTGTGCAAAGTCACAGGACTTTAGGAAACATGGACTTATGGGAAACTTACAGGGCTGGGGACACAGCATCCAGAGCTTGATCAGTGACATGGTTTAAAAATTGAGGGACGCAAAAATAATCGCTCAATTTCATATGTGTCAGATGGTAAGAAACACAATAAGACAATAGACACAGTGATTTACCTTGGAAGAGATCTGGAGTTTACTCGTGAAGTGGGCATCTGGAAGGCTTTGACATGTGGTTTATCGTGAAGTGTCGGAACAGGGGCATCTGAAAGCAAAAGGTTTATACCAATTGTGGATGGCATGGCTCATGACATGCATGTGAACAGATTGAGAGGTGTGTTGTGTATTCCTCGACAACTCATCTCTGCTGGGTATAGTTTTCTGTTTGTTCACCTAGTATTTATCATGGATAAAATCACACCAGCAAATGTGAAATTCATGTTACTGTCAAATTGCCCCCAGATGTATCAGTCATATCCTGTAGCTCTTGGTCCCATGTTCTGATAAAAGTTGGTCCCAAGAAATCAGATGAGAAAAGACATTTCTTTTTAGGGAGAGGTTGGTTGCTCCTTGCATGTGGCCTTCTATTAGAATAAAGAGGGTCAGTTGAGTTGTCCAGAAGAAGGGTAACAGGAGTAAAAGGACACTGGAGACTAATGACATTGCATTCCTTTTGACAGGTACCTCAAAGTCTGGAGTACACTACAAGGGTCATGTGGAGATCCCCAATTTGTCCGATGAAAACAGTGTGGATGAAGTAGAGGTTGGTGCCCTAATTTGTCCTGTCTTCCACATCCTCTTGCCTCAGATAAGAAGAGGGACCTCTCCGTCAAGACAAAAGCCCAGACTTGACCCAGACATTCAGAACCCCAGTTTGCAGAAGATTCTCTAGGTCCACCGTGCCATTGGAAGCCTCCAGAGCAGCGTGTGTTTCATTACTTTGCTTCAGCTAGTTACAGAAGTTCTGACCTTAGCCACCTTTGTTTGGGCAGAGGGACTCAAGAAGGGGTGTTCATGGGGATCATCAGATACCCCAGCCCTCACGCGTTTCCTTGGGAAATGTCAATAGTTACTTGATTGCTCGGCACCCACAGTATGCGGTGCCCTCAAGTTATTTACCACCTACTTCTGATCTTTCACTCAGATTAGTGTGAGCCTTGCCAAAGATGAGCCTGACACAAATCTCGTGGCCTTAATGAAGGAAGAAGGGGTGAAACTTCTAAGAGAAGCAATGGGAATTTACATCAGCACCCTCAAAACAGGTATCCCTTGAGTAGTAATGTATGCCTTGAGGAGGTAGTTTTCACTTGTCAGACTGATTAAGGGGCTTGACCGTCTTTCTTTGGCAAATAGGTAAAGATTTGGGGGGACAGGGTATATTTCATCTCAAAATCAGACTATAAATTGAGTAAGAAAAATCTAAGATTAGTTTTCTAATATTTTGGGAATTGAGCACTTGAAACATGGCTAGTCCAAATCTGGAAGTATTGTGCATGTAAGATACAGCCATGATTTGGCACCCCAAAGGGATAACTTATTTATGCATACAAGAGCTGGGGTGTAGACCAGAGGATGTAGGGGGTGAGAGGATTCACCAGAAACAGAGTGGGGAGCAGAACAGGCTGATCTATTGAGGGGAGCAGTAGGTGAGATAGAGATCTGTTGTGCCATGTGGGTTAGATCCCTGCTAGGGAGCAAACTTATGCTGCAGTGGCTGCAGATGATTTCATAGTGCTGAGACTTAACCTTGCAGCACTAGTGAGCCCAACTGGAACGTTTTGAATTGTACTTGAAGTTGATATATTTCTATTGGATGGTGCTGATCTAAAGAGTTGGCATTCTTGCGCACAGCCCTGGGTTGTCTTTGATAGCATTCTCTAGAGCGTTTTAGAGGGTTATTAGAATAGCAGTCGGCTCAGCTCTCTAGAATGCTAGTTCTGCCAGTGTGTTCCGATTGTGAAGCTGGAGTACCTCTGACGACCATCCTGAGGGGCAGTAGATGGTGGGAACTTTTTGGTGGGAACCAGTGTTTCGCTGCCGTCACCATTGTGGCTGTCACCGAGTGGAAGGCAGACTGGAGAAAGTGACTACACAAGTAGCACCCTTCTCTGTTCCACACATGGCGGCATTGAAGAGCCACTGTATTCGTGGACTCCACCCACACTAGATCTCTCACACATGGAACAAGTCGTTGTGCTTCCATTGAGTCGGGGCTAAGTGTGTCGGTGAATGTATTATACTCTGTAGCATGCACTCGGATACCTGGTAAAGGTGTAAAAGTAAGCACTTCCTTTCCTCATCACCTCATGTTGGGTAAGATGG